TCTTCTCTAAAACTTACCAATTTTTGTATTCCTACATAAACATTTAAGTTTTATGATTTTTCTTTTAGAACTACATAGATATTATGAATATATTCCTATCTCATGCAATTTTTGTTATTCTATTCAAGACCTCAACTCCAATACTTTCTTTCCTAAGATAAATATTGATTACCTATGTAACTAAATTGAGTGATCAATTTAACTAGGAGTATTAATATAAAATAGAATAATTACTTGAATAAGGAATAAATAGAAATTGAATTCAACTAAAAACTTGGAGATTCATAATTTGGATCCAATTGAAACCAAAAAAATATAACTTAATTCATAATTAAATACAAAAAACCCAAAATTGATCAATGCCACTGTTAGAGAACCCCTCTTCTTCACTAGAGCTACCTTCTTCAAAACGCGACTAGCCCTCTTTTGCTTCTCTCCCTGTCCTCTTTAAAACCTTGTGAGTCCCCTCACTTCTTACCAAACTTGCATGACCCATAAGATATCTTTGATTTTTTTTTTTTTTATCACTTGATTTCATAAATTTGAAAGGATTTAAAAAGGTTTGGATGAAGAAAGTTTCCAATGCTCAAAACGGTGTGCTTTAGGTAGAAAAGGGGAAAAATGCTTGAGGTAGAAAAGCATTTTTCCACTTAAGTCCCTCATCTTTTGTTCACATTACAACAGATGCAGTGACACCCTTCAACTTAGCAATTTGGTTCTGGATGATAGCATAGTCACCAAAGCCTTGGTGCCATGATATATGTGATAACTGGAAGATGATCACCATCTGAAAATGATTGGGTAGCCGGACGGGTTCTAGGGTATGGCGCAGTGACAAATATCATCAATGGTGGGCTTGAATTTGGTAAGGGTTGGAATGCAGAGGTAGAGGATAGGATTGGACTCTACAAGAGGTATTGTGACATACAGGGAGTTGATTATGGTAATAATCTTGACTGCTACAGCCAGTGGCCTTTTGGGTATGGAGTCTTAGTTGATACTGCGTAAAATATTTCAGAACAATATAGACCAAAAATAAAGTGTCAGATCACAATGTTCTCTCCAACTTAGCTTGTTGGTTGGAACCTATCATGTCTGGTTGTCTGAACGACGAAGTATGTGTACTTGTGTTGGGTCTAAGAGAATATTAAAAGTACAGTTTATCTCAAATATCATCTTTCTTCTTTTTTGTTCTTTTTTTTTTTTTAATAAATATAATTTGAGGTGTACTTGACTTTTTGAATCTAATAACATTAGTCATGTAGAAAAAATGTACACTCTCCCTTCTTTTTTGGGTTTGGGTTCAATCCTGCCACATGTTAACATGTTTCAAAAAAAAGTATAATTTGAGGTAAATAATAGAGAATTGTAATATGCTAAATTATGATTTAAATTTTAATTATTGTTAAAGTATTAACTGTACCAACCAAATGACCATAAGTCTAGTGCCAAATAGCATCTTTCTGTATAAACTACTGCTGGCACCAAAACATTTTTGCGTTTTATGCAAAGTTTAGCCGCTAACAAAATTTAAAAAGTTGGCCATCCTCTTTAGACTTTAGCACTCAGCTCAGGATTAGGCTGATGGGATGATATGACATCGTCAGATTACCAAAGGATCCGAAACAAGAGACAAGATTTCCTTTTTATATCAGCCACAACCCACAAGAGACTAGATTTCCAATGACTCAGTTATTGGATGTAATGAATATAATCTCATATTAAATGAGTGTATACTATTCATGTATTAAGTAATACAATGATGAATTGAAGAAGATTTTATATAGATTAAAAATTTTAAAAAAACACTGTAATTAATAAGTGTTGAAATTTTATTAATTCTCACTTACCAGCTTCAAAATTTAAGAAAAAAAATTTGATTAAATCAATTCCAACTTAAGGTTTTTTTTTTTTTTTTAATCTTGATTACACAATGTGAGACAACAATTTTATTTTTCTTATCCCACCCCACTACTCGAATTCAAGATTTTTATTTCCAACGAAAAGAGATGATTATTGACTTACTTGGATCATTGGTAATTAAGCAAAGTTTAAAAATTAATTCTAATTACTCAATAATTCAGGAATATAATTTTCATCAATCCATTACTCTTCAAACTTATTAATTTTTTTTTCTCAACCAATTAATTCTAAGTGACAATAGAAAAATCTGTATATAAGTTACTGACCTTTTCCAAGCCTAGCACTATTGTCTTCTAATTTATCAATTTTTGTATTCTTACATAAACTAAAATAAGTAAAAACATTATTTAAGTCTTATAATTTTTCTTTCGAAACTACATAGACTTTACGAGTATTCTCCCATCTCATACAATCTCTATTATTCTATGAAAAGACTCAACTCCAATATTTTCTTTTCCAAGATAAGTGTTGGTTATTCAAACAACTAATTGAGTGATCAATTTAACTAGAAGCATTAAATATAAAATAGAATAATCACTTAGACTTAGTTTTGACATTATTGTTCACTGCTACTCTATAATTGTAGCTGTAAAAAATTTTGTATTGTATTGTCACAAAAATACATTTTAATATTTGGTAATTATATTT